TTTGTTTTTCCTTTGTTTTCCAGCAGAAAGGAAGGGAGAGCCCTTTATTAGACAGGTGTTAGAAAGTACTTCACTACAGAAGAATCCAGTAGAGTCTGCACCTTTAGCAAAAATAGTTTTTGTTTGCTTGTTGGTTTAATTCTCTCCCCCAGCTTCCATACTTAGAACATGCTGTTATCTGCCACTTCTGCTGGCTTGTCTAAAGTCCAATAAATATTATTGCATATCTGACTTGGATCTTCTTACATAAAATCAAAACAAGGCTTTGTTAAATCAAAACCCTCTCTGTTCAAACATACAAGTATTCCTTGTGGCAAAGTATACCTTTTGTTGTAGTAAACATTGTTCAAATGACCAGTGTGATACTGCAAAAAGTTACAAAATGCCTACTTGTACTTTATATCATGTTACTGATGCCTCAAATAATGAAGTGCTGAATATTTACGCTACAGTCTCAAATTAATTTTATATTTACAAGAATATATTAGCTCTTGAATGGCATTTAACTCTGTAAAACATTGATTAAAATATGTAACAGGCATAAAAGATTAATATCACAGAAGTACAGGCAGTTCATACAGCATGATAAATAACTTGCCAAAAAAATAATTTGCTAAGCATTGCAAATCAAATAATATTACAGCTCCAGAAAAATTATTCACGTCTGCTGGGGCTGTTTTACAACAGTAAATAATGTTTAAACATGTTTTTATGAAGTATATATTGTCCAGAATAGAGTTCAGCTAACTTATCAAATTATAAATGCATTAACATTTTTGTGCCAGGAGTCACAGGGGAAGATCTTGGCCCTATTGGAGACAATAATAAGCCTCCCACTGCCTTTATGGATGCAAGCCTTGTGATAAGGTTGTCTTCATTTTGTTCTCCCTGGCATCATACAAAGTTATAGGCTCTGCAGTGTTGATGTTTCAAAAAAAAAATAACAATCTTGTCACCAGTTTAGAGCTCTACCTGGATCACAAGCTGCTCCCTTTCCTAGGCCAAATGTCTCTTGACTTCAGTGGGAGAAAAGCCAGAGAAGGGACCAGCAACAGTTTACTCTCCAGGATACATTAAACTTCATAAAAACAATCTGTAGTGTTTCAAAGACCATACAGGCAATTTAGCCTGTAGTTGTTATATGTTAGTAGTGTAACATAATAGTTCCATTAAAGTAAACATGGAAATCTGTCTTCTGACTTAGTAGCTTCTGGAAGGGCTTAAATCAATATTGTATAAAAGCTATATTGCCAAATTCCTGCCTGTTTCAGCCAGGGAACCCAGGACAAGGCACAACAAATGAAGGTCTGGCACCTTCTCTCTTATATGCAGGACCTCCAAATCCACTGCAAAGTCACTGCTGCTGGAGGTGACCTGGATTTTTGTGAAATGTTGCTCTAAAAGATGGCACAGAGGATGATACTTTCATGTGGTATGCTGCCTATGAAAGAACTGGGAAAAAGCAGCCCATTGCTCTACTAAAGAATCTTTTAAAAAACCCAACTTCTCAATAGGTGGACATTAAAAAATGAGAACAATGTTCTATTTTAAGATTACCTGTTCAGTTCTCAAAACCTTATCAGTAAAAGAAAAGAAATGCAACTAGTCACATTTACAGTAGAAATCAAGAAATTTCACTGAGGGTAGCACTAATAAGCATGTAACTTTTCTTTTGCATTACAATATGTAATTTCTTCAGAATTATGGGGACTTGTTTAATGGTCTTAATAGAGTCTGTGTCAGGTGTAACTTTTTTGGAGAAAAACACCAAGCAACATCCAACCAAAAAAACCCCAGCAAAACAACCTAGAACACTCCTTTACTATAGACAACTCAGATGTGAAGCAGTACTGGATGGGTGTGAGTAGACTGGTAGAAGCCAAGGCCACGGAGCTGGATGCTCTTGTGTGCAGAGGTGTGCTGCTAACATTTTACACTAGTTGCATATAAGGAACTTTTTGTTTGCACCAAAGAAATACAAAGATGCTATTGTGATGACATGTTCAGAATAAATACAGAAAAAATACTTCTGCCTCCTTGGAGACTCAGCTTTAAGTGGGCTATTAAAGGAAATGAGGCTGCTGGAATCTCAGAGTAGGACTCCAGCTGGCTCTTGGAAGCCAAGCGTGTGTGGCAGATGGCAGGGGCGTACAAGGTAGCCTCCTGTCCTGTGCACGCCCGTGTGAGTCCCAGGAATGGCGGGGGTGCTGGTCCACGGGGACAGAGCAAAGGCTGAATAAGTATTGCAGGAGTAGCACAAACCCTTTCATGGGATTTGTTTTAAAGACCTGTATTGCATTAACATTATGGAGCCCTATTGATAAAGTAAACTGTGTCAAGCTGGGCTTGAACAATGAGATGACCTAAGGCAGTGGGCACTGGCTACGAGGAGTTTTAACTGTGCAGGTGGAAGTTATCACTTTACAACTTGGAAGTGCAAAGACTGGCAATGAAAAGCATAAGCTAAATACTCTATTTGGTGTCGCTTCCAATACAAAAATTCCAGCTGTTCTAAAATCAATGGCCAAAATTGGGCTATTAGCCAGGCTTTATCCCAAATACTTGCCGTGAGGCACTCTGCTAGCCCTACAAACAGCAGGGAGAAGGGCCCTGGTCACTGGGCTCCTCCTGAACAAGGTGATGACTGAATCCTACACTATAGCCCCCCAGCTTCTGTGCCTGCAACAGTGACTGACAGCATGACTATGGAACACCCACATACAGAGAGATACTGCACCATACATATGGCAGAGTACAGAAAAAAAGACCAAATGAAATCTAGCACAAATGTAATTTTCAGAAGAGGGTGGGGGATACAAACAGCAAGTAATTCTTCAGTGCAGGAAGATGATTGCAACTGGTTAAGACAACACCACTAAGTTTTCACTCTATTCCAATTTTATTCTACTGCATAGGCATCTGCCATGTATGGTCAAAATACCAGATTTTTCTTCTCTCAGATAGTACAAAGAAGGAATAGAAAAGAGGAGAGGAGAATGATGAACATCAACTCTTGGCAGCGAGCAAGTGATGACATAAAAAGCACTTATGGCAGCCTCTGTGCATAGATATTTTTAATTTATTTAAAAGAAAATCCTATTCAGAACAGGAGTAAGTTGTTGGCAGGAGCTATATTCCATTAGTTTGTCTATAAGTGTAATGTTTGTAAGTTGTGTTTCATGTACTGCTTTGAATATTTGGATGAAAAAGTATAGCTGTTGGTGGTCTTTGTTAGTAAGTTCAGCCTGATGGAGCTTTATGAATATAAAGAGCTCTATGACCTGTTGCTAGTCTTAGTCCATTCTCTAGATCTCAAGCAAGAAAATACAAAGCAAGTATCAAGAATAAATACTCCTAATATTAAAAACTGAATTGGATTTAAGACTATGCTATCAAATCATGTTCTGCTGGGAGATTAGACAAGATAATGCCTACTTATTTTTTTAACTCCTACCATTTTTTATCACTGCTGTATTAATAAAACAGTTAAAATATTTCACAGAATATCTGGCATTTTTTTCCTGTTCTAGTTAAAATATTGTTTGGTGTCGAAACCTTTCTTTTTAGGGGGGAGTGGGGAAAGGTGCCAGCTGGGATAAAGTTGTCTAAACTGGACAGATCATGATGAAAAGATTTTTCTCAAAGATCTTGTAAGGTAACTCGGTAACTTTCTATTTGGGTTTATTGCAATCTCCAGGATAATTTCGAACATCATTCCAATTGTGCTTACTCGTGTCTGATGCCAGTTAAATGGCTTCAGAGAAGGTGCCTATGGCTTCCACCACAGGAAGCTGGAGGTCGAACAGGTCCCTTCTGCGCCCAGCATCAGTTATCACTCCGTGCCTGTGGCGTGCCAGCCGTGTGTGTGATACCACCACAGCCTGCCCTGCGGATGGCACGGTGACACTGCTGGTGACACTAGAGTTTAGAGACAGGGAGATGTGTGTGGGCATGGGGATGGGGGGGGGTGGCCTTTGGCTGATGGCAGCTCTCTGCAGACGGGCACTGGGACGGGCGCTGTGCTGGCGGAGCAAACCTACCTCTATGTACGCTGGATTTTATACAAGTTTATTGTCCCCGCTAATGTCTGTGCAGGTCAGCCTTTGGCTACAGCAATGGTTTGTTTTGTGTAGGACACAGGAACGTGGAGATTTGGAAGTGGCAGGAGACTTTTATTTTTTTTTTTCCTTCTGTCTCATCTAAAAACTATGCAGGCCACAGCAGTTAGACAGCAGCATTTTTATGTTTTTTGGTGACAAGTTAGGACTTGAAAACAAAAGCCCAGCGGCCCGGGGGCCCTGCATGCCCATCTCTGGGGGGGTGAGCCGCTCCTGGAGCGATAGCAAAATCACCCTCCCCGAACCCAGAAAACTTTGCAGCCTCTGGGTACAGACCACAGTGCCCCCGACTCAAACCAGCACTGCTAATTTAACCGGCTGTCATGTCACGGTTGAACTTGACTCCTCAGGGCGGCTGCCTCCTCTCCCCGGGGGGCAGAGCCAGCGGAGCCCGGGGCCGGCCCGCACCCCTCCCGCGGGCAGCCTCTGCCATAGCGGCCGCCGGAGGGGCGAGGGGCGG